CACAGAGAGGCATCGAGGTCGACCCTTTCAAAACAAGGTCATCTTAGAAATGCCACCACCAAGGACTGAAAGGGAGGTGCGAGGCTTTCTAGGTAAAGTGCAATTCATAAGACGGTTTATTTCAAAATTAACCTTGACTTGTGAGCCACTCTTTGGTCTCCTGAAGAAAGGAACGAGGTTCCAATGAGACAGCCGATACCAAGCTGCTTTTGAGCAGATCAAACAATATTTACAGAACCTACCTGTGTTGTCAACGCCTGAGCCGAGGAGACCATTGATTCTGTACCTTTCAATGACTAAAACTACAATGGGCTGCATGCTCGCCCAAGAGTCTGAGGACAAAGTGGAGAGGGCTATCTACTATCTGAGCAAGAAAATGCTGGAGTATGAGACCCGCTACACTCCGTTGGAGAAGGCTTGTTTGGCCTTGGTATGGGCTACCAAGAAGCTGCGGCACTACCTGTTAGCTTACTCTGTAATACTGGTTTCGAGATTGGATCCCATCAAATATCTTTTCAAGAAAACAGCACTTACGGGTAGGCTAGCCCGTTGGTTGCTTCTGCTTTTTGAATTTGATCTGAAGTATGTGACGCGCAAGTCAGTAAAAGGGAGAGCGGTAGCAGAATTCCTAGCCGATCACCCAGTTGAAGGGGATGAAGCAGTTGAGTACCTATTCCCAGACGAGGCCATCCTGCATATCGAAGACGAAACTTGGACAATGTACTTTGATGAAGCGTCAAACCAATATGGGTATGGGATAAGGGTGTTGCTGATAGCACCTGACAATTCCGTATACCCCTAGCATTCAAACTCCGGTTCAAAGTATCGAACAATGAAGCAGAGTATGAGGCATGTATTGCTGGTTTAGAAGCCGCCCTAGAACTAGGGGCAAAACAGTTAGATGTCATCGGGGACTCGAACCTTGTTGTATCTCAAGCTAAAGGACATTGGAAAGTCAAAGAAGAAAAGATGAAAATCTATCACCAGGCCTTGGACGTGCTAATTCCTCCGTTTGAGAAGCTGAATTTCGCCCATCTGTTAAGAGAGAACAACAGGTTCGCAGATTCACTAGCAACTCTATCTTCCACGATAGACATCCCTTTTGGAGTCCGGATGCATCCGATCATCATCGAACAGAAGTTTGTGCTGGCTTACGAGCTGCTTGCTACCATAGATGAAGTACAAGATGAGAATCCTTGGTATTACGACGTCTGGAACTTCTTAGAAAAAGAGGCGTATCCACTAGGAGCAAATGCCAAAGATAAGAGGGCAATTCAAAGAATGGCTGCTCAGTTCATCGTCTGCGGAGGTAAACTGTACAAGAGAGGTCATCTCGGGATGCATAAACTGTGTGTTGATGCTGAGGAATCCAAGCACCTAATGGAGGCCATCCATGGAGGAGAGTGCGAAGCGCACATGAATGGGGTGATGCTAGCCCGGAAGATCCTTAGACAAGATTACTACTGGTCCACCATGGAGAAGGATTGTATTGGTTTTGTTCGGCGATGCCACAAATGTCAGATCCATGCAAATTGCATGAACATTCTTCCATCGAAGCCATACAACATGACTTCGCCATGGCCATTTTTAGTCTGGGAGATTGATGTGATTGGAGCTATCACTCCAAAAGGGTCCAATGGGCATGAGTACATTTTAGTAGCGATAGACTACTTCACGAAGTGGGATGAGGCCCAATCTTACGCGGTGTTGAAGGCTTCGCATGTTGCAAAGTTCATCAGGAACAATATCTTCTACCTCTATGGGGTCCCGAACGAGATCATTTCAGATAATGGCTCTCACTTCAAGAAGGAGGTGATCGACTTGTTGGACAAGTATAACGTGGCTTTCCATAAGTCATCTACATATTGGCCGCGAACCAACGGAGCAGTCAAGGCCACCAACAAGAACATCAAGCACATATTGCAGAAGATGGTGGAAACCTACCGGGATTGGCCAGATAAGTTGCCATTTACTTTGTGGGGCTACTGGACTTCAATTCGAACTTCTACCAAAGCAACTCCGTATTCTTTGGTTTATGGGATGGAGGCTGTTTTGCCTATTGAAGTTAAGGTTCCGTCATTACGGGTACTGGCCGAGTGTCAGATAGCTGAGGCAGATTGGCAGCAAAGCAGGTTCGAAGAACTCATGCTGTTTGATGAAAGAAGGCTGAAAGCACTGTACCATGTTCAGGGTTATCAACGGAGAATCGCCAAGGCTTTCAACAAGAAGGTTAAGTCCGTGAATTTGAAGGAAGGGGATCTAGTGCTCAAAAACAACCGAGCTCCCATTCACAACCCTAGGGGCAAGTTCAGACCCAATTGGACTGGTCCTTACATCATCAAGTCTATCTGGTCGGGCGGAGCTGTCGTTCTGATGGACCTAGATGGTCTAGAGTTCTCCCAACCGATCAACATGGACAAGTTGAAGAAATATTATCCTTGAGTGGCTCGCTAGGCCGAAAACCCGAAAGGGTGACCTAGGCAAAAGTTAGAGCATAAAAAATTTAAAACTATAAAAACTGAGCTCGCAAGGTTGAAAACCCGCAAAGGGTGGCCTCGGCAAAAGTTAGAGCGCAAAAGAAGAGTGTTAATACACGAGTGTTAATATACGAGTGAACCTGAGCCGAACTATGTAAGGCTTGATTTCCATTTTTGGGATACGTAAGCAACTTCATCCTGAAGTCCAACCATAAACACTTCCCCGATCAACTTTGTCCATGTGATCATGTTTGGTCATCTTTGTCTACTCTGCGTTCAAGAGCTCAGTTATGATCTCCGATGCAGTGCTATTCAGACTAGGGGCAACTTTCCAGTTGTTGAAATCCGGGGTTGTGCATCTTAGTGGCAGATCTCAGGCGTGTCCAATTCTGGTCCATATCGAAAATGGTTTTGAAAAGTTTTAATAAAAGTTAATTTTGTTTAAATTAATCTTTTTACAACTTAGACCATTTTCGGACCAAACGGGAAATTTTCAGTACCCATAACATTCAATTTCATTGATTTCAATACAGAGTTCTCCTGCTCTTGAATACAAAATTGAAATTGCTTTTTATTACATTCATAAAGAAAACTTGGAAGTACTGATAAAGCAATAAATTCGGGGCATAAATAACTCAGGTGTTCCTGCGCCCCCTCCCAGAGCTGGTCGAAACCTCTGATGCTAAAGTAGGCCCAGTTTGCACCTCTTCAAAAAGCCAAGCTACACACTCATCAGAGAGAGTACAACTGAAAGTGGAAGTGAGAGCCAGAAGCTCTCTAGTCCTCCATGCCGTGGCATATCGAGCTAGCTAAGTGCCTTGGACCGGAAATGTAGCGGGGTACTCTATCCCTTCTATTGGGCAAGTCCGATCATGTCCGAACTGACGCCGGAACTGGAAAGGAAAATGAAACACACAGTGTGTCATGCCAATCAACTGAATCCCTGGTTGGCGAGTCATACTGTAACTCATTGCTGGCAGATTGAGCCAAAGACAACACCAAGCAATGCGGTCTGTGGATAAACTGCGCATCCAGTTGTACCACCATCCCTCGTCAGAGGCATCGACTAGACGTCGTCGGAAGAAATAGCTGCGAGCTGAGTATGTGGGGCAGGAGTCCACAATCTTCAATTTGTCCATCAACCATATCTGGAGAGGGATTAAAAATGAGAGATTAAAGAATAGAGAGGTGTACATCGAGAGAAAAAGTGAGAAAAGGGTATTAAGAGAAAAATCGAGCCTGAGGGCCAAGTGACATGAGCAATATATGAGAGATGGGGTGGGAAACAGAAAACGTCCAATCCCATCAATGTCTCAGCCAATGTCATAGCGATACAGCTCTTGCCCTCTCTTAAGCCCTAGGTAACTTCAATCAAACGAGTGCTAAACCCACCGGAGCCTGGGGCAAGCAAGAAATGAGATTACATGCACAAGCAAAGTGCATGTCATCGATAACCCTGCCAGTCATGATTACCGCGGTCACCGGCATCAGAAAATCGACGAATCACGCTGGGGATATCCAGCACTCCATCGCGAATCAATGACCGAGCGTCATGCAAAGTGAGCCCACACATCCATCCTAAGGCTTGGACGTGGCCAAAGAGAAATTGCAGCAAAATTTCCTCCTCGCGCTCGGATTCCATTAAAGCTTGGAAGCCTTCAAATGTGGGACACATCTCTTTTCCGCCAAAGCTAAAGACATGTGTTACCGGGTTCCAAAACCTTGCCACGGCATGAAGAAACGGAAAACGCCGCGGGGTACAGCTCAGCATGAATAGTGCATTTATGCCAAAGCCCCGGAAATTCACCTTTTCCAAGCCATCCAAGGAAGCAATCCAATTTGTGAGATTTTGGATGAGAAACGCCTCCATTTTGGTGCAAAACTGAGTTGGAATGAGGGAACCATGAAGCTGGAACCTTTATAATGGATAAGACACTGTTTGGAGGACAAGTGTCAGAAAACTGGAGGTTCCCAGATCAAGTGGTCGGCCGACCACTTTTTCTGGTTGGCCAGCTACTTTTTTAGGCTGCAGACAGAAAAACTGGTCGGCAGGCTCCTCTGGTGGTCGGCCATGAGCATGAAAGTGGTTTACACCTGTTTCTTGCCTCCAGGAGTGGGTCTCTAACTTCCCCATGCGCTGGGAGTGCTGAAGGTTCGAATTTACCTCTGTTTCGGATGCATTTCGTCTCTTTGTTTATCGAGTTGTTGCTCATTTGTTTATCGAGTTGTTGGTCATTTTGTTCATCCAGTTGTTGCTCATTTGTTTATCGAGTTGTTGCTTATTTGTTTATCAAGTTGTAAATTCGTTTAACGAATTATTTTTGAGTTGAGTTGTTTAGTTTGTTACGTCGGTTCACTACCTGACTTGGCAATACACGTTGTTCTATTTTCATTCAAATTTCATTTTTGTGCAAAATGGTGCAATGCGATGCTTAAAATACAAATACAATACTCTTTGAACGAAAAGCCATTTTCATCCCATCATTGCTTCTTTTTACAACATTTTACAAAAGGGTACAAGTTTTAGAAGAAAAATAAAGTTGCCTAAGCTGTACAATGAGCTACAACTGCATGTAAAAAGAAAAATAAAACAGGAACATCTGCATCAGTGCCATCAAGCTCAAGACCAAGAGGCCCTCTTCGGTTGAGCAGCCTCCGTGCCACCGGCACCGGCACCATCATCTGAATCGAAGTCACCATCCTCGGAAGCCTCCTCGGTGCCGCCTCCGTCCTCCGAACCGAAACCTGAGTCATCATCCCTACCTGCAGATGTCTCAGACTGAGGATGTGCTGACTCCTCCTCCTCGCTAGACTCCTTGTCATCCTGACTGATAGGTGCTCTGCGTCCGCCTCGGCTGCGTGCTGAGACTCCTCTCCTAGCTGCTCGAGAAGGCCCGGATGGCCCAGTCCGCAGAGGCGAGACCTGAAAAGAACAATTTGAATGCGTCAGCCAGTATGTATATCAGATGCAGATACAAGAATTACATAGAGTGGGTGCATGCAGATATAGAGTGTGAATGCGATGTGTCAGATGTGCTCTACACATGGAATAAATCAATACAGTGAAATGTTCAGTTTCTATATGTCATCAGAAACATGATAAATGCGAGGAAATTGAAAAGTACCTGAACGCCGGAGGCACAAAGCATCATCTCCCTCCGCAGAACCATGCCCTCGAGTGAAGCCACCACTCCGAGTAACCCCTCAGTATACTCCCTGGGAGGCTGCACACACAAGTTCAAGTCATCAGTGAATGAATGAATGTCTAAATATCTGAGTGATAAATGAAAATTGTAAAACATACCGGTGGTGAGTCAGGGTCACTGACGTATCGATGGTCAGGCATCGGAGGCTCTAGTGAAATCGGGTAAGAAGTCCCATAATTGAGGAGAGGATTGCATAATTGAGCCTCCATACTTGGAATTGAAGACCTAAAGGTAGAGAATTCATCTTTTTAATTATGAATGTGTGTTGTTCTTGCTAGGTTCATGGTGAAATTGGTATTTAAAGTCAAGATTTAGCTCAAAGTGTGGTTTTGAGAGTCCATCCATGCATGCATGCATAAATTTTCATGCTTTGAGTTTGAATTCTAAGATTTCTTCCATGCATGTGTTAATTTCACTCACATTATGGTCATCCGTCTTGTTGTCCATCAAATTATCAAGTTGGATCATGTTTTGGAGGGTTTGGATTCAATGAGATTCTTGCATGTTGTATTAATGGCATGTTCTTAGAGTTCATGTTGATTTTGCACAAATTGGGTTGCTCTTGGGCCATGATTTCTTAAAATGATTTTTAATACATGTCGTTTTATGAGTTATTTTATGTTTCCTCAAATATTGGCCCAGAAAAATGAGTTTTGAAGGCTTAAAGGTTAAGTTTCATGCTTGGAGGTCAATCTGGATTTTTCAAAAATTTGACCCACGCTCGAGCGGGTACTTTCACGCTCGAGCGTGAATCCTGAGTACATGCACTTCCGCTCAAGTGTCGATAGTTACACTCGAGCGTGAAATGCATGTACCCAGAAGTTTGTATGTTTTGCAGTCCGCTCAAGCGAGGGAACCCACGCTCGAGCGAGACTCTGAGTCTCACGCTCGACCGGGGGTCGAGCACCCGTCGAGCGTGAAAATCATGCATCCAGTACTTTTGTCGATTTTACAGTCCGCTCGAGCAAGGAAGTTCACGCTCGAGCGGATCTTCAATATCTGCATGTCCGCTCGAGCGGGGTAATCCACACTTGAGCGTGGACCTTATCTTCAGCAAAATTTAGGAAATGGTTTTCAAGGCATTTTTGCGTCCTCATTCCATCCTTGGCATTCCTAGGCCATGTTTAAGGCCTTTTAATGAGGATTAAAGGTTAGAAACACACTAAGAGCCAATGACGTAAGTTTTGTACAATTAGAACGTGTGTTTCAAGTGTGTATCTATTATGTGTTATGTAGGTCACGTGTCGTGTTCTATCTGACTAATCTGCTCCGTCTGTTTGTCTTAAGGCCAACTATGAGTAATAACTTAGTAAAGTTATGTTCAACTGTATCTATTTTCTGTGTGATAAAATAAGATCTGTTTTTCGAAATGATATGTTTTGTACAATGAATGATTGTTCAATTTTTTATATGTATTCGTGACATCCTTAGTATCATGTGATATCTATTGGTTGTTACTCGGTATCGGAGGTTCCTTTATGAAACTTATATCCGTCTGCACTCTGTTACCCGTACCGGAGGCCCCGTCATGGGGGCTTAGCTTCTGTTCTGTTACCCGGATCCGGAGGTTCCTTTAAGGAACTGGTTACTTGTAACCCTCACGTGTCTGCCTCTGTTCTGTATCTGCTCTGTTATTGCTAATGGATGTATCACGTAAACTCAAGTATGACTTATTATTTCTGTATATGATCTGGACCAATTATGGATTTGATATGAAACTGAATTATGATTTCTGAATCTGTACAGACTCATTCATTGAAACCCCTTTACTCTATTATTATTCACTGGGCCTTCGCTCACAGTTTATATTATGTATGTAGGTGAGCTGGCGTGTGACCAGGGCCAGAGTTGACAGCCTTCTGTAAAGTTAGGTCTTGGGATGTACTCTTCTGTAAATACTTTGTAAATATTGGCATCCTTTGACTAGCATGCTCATGCATGTATATATATAAGTTTTGAAATCTATTGTCTCATGTACGTTACCACAGCTCATTGGACCTTGTCTATTTTATATATTTGCTTCTGCAGCCCTTTATTATATGCTTATCTATTTAGAGGCCTTTGGTAATCTACGAATTACTGGCTGGTTACGATGCCTAACCTACAAGGGCGGGTTTAGGTCATGACAGCATCCATCCGATCCCGCCCCTCGATGAGTCTACCCCGTTGGTCGAAGGAATGCCTCCAGCTCGGGCACGACTCGAGGAAGGCATGTCAACAGCTCTCCTCCTAAGGATACAGACACCTAACAGCGGAGGCATCAAGTGCGTATGGCGATATGTCGCATAATCTTCCTCCTCCAGAAAAAGGACTGTATTAATACCCAGTATGAGGTTCTTCGTCTTTCGGTGCGTAAGATCCCCTGCGGACCGCATCTCTAGTGGAGGCGATGAGGGAACGTCCTGATTAGAGTTGCCCATCATCTGGCACGTGAAGCACTCTCCGAGGAACCAGGCTCTGCCGACCGGTCCCTCAAGCAGGACCCTATATCGCAAAGTGCCCCATGCCCCAGCGAACAGAAATCGAGGATTCCCTGGCATGGCTATCCAAGACTGCCAGGACACCTGCGGGTAGCAAGTGCATAAATTGATTAGATGTCATAAATATGCAAGATAAATCAAAGCGGAAAGCATGAAGAACTGAGAGTTTCGGATTACCTCCGTCGCTCGTACAGTATCGAAGAACTGCCGGAGAGAGGGCAAAGTCTCCCGGGGCCTGGGCCGACACCGACCCTCAAATCTGCTCGAGTAAGGGATCACAAGGGGTGCCTTGACCTCTAACTCAGGGGCCAGCGTCGGGAAGTACGCATAAACCCACAGCTGTGAAAGGTAAGACAACGGCTGACAGAATATAGAATGATGTGTACAGTGTACAGCATATAGAATACTGAGTGCAGAATGTCAGAATATAGAATGTTGTGTGCAGTGTACAATATATAGAATGCTGAGTGCAGAATGTCAGAATATAGAATGCTGTGTACAGTGTACAGTATACAGAATGCTGAGTGTAGAATGTCAGAATATAGAATGCTGTGTGCAGTGTACAATACATAGAATGCTGAGTGCAGAATGTCAGAATATAGAATGCTGTGTGCAGTGTACAGTATACAGAATGCTGGGTGCAGTGTACAATATACACAAAATACAGGAAATGCAGAATGCTGAGTGCAGAATGTAGAATACAGAATGTGATGTGTGCAGTGTGCGGTGTACAAATAATGAAAAATAGAACTGTAAATTAAGAGAGCAGAATGTACCTCCCAAGCTCGCCAGTAGCCTCCAACTATGGTCCCCTGCTCACGGGAGGTCGCGCTCATGTAGCAGTAAAGGGTAGCAAGGCCCGCGCCACCCCAATCATACTAACTGACCCGTGATAGGTCCACCAAAGCACTGAGCAGATAAAGCCCAACTGTGTTTCCCCTGTCAGAGAATAGTGTGGTCCCGAGGAGGAACATCAAGAATCCCCGGGCGTACTGCTGTATGGTCTCAATGGTCTAGGGCCAAGTCCCCCTGTACTGCTTGACAAACCAGGTGTACCTGACCCAACCCGATAATCTGTCGATCGGCGGACGGGCTCCAAGCAGATAAATCCAAGCGGCCTCCCACTCGCACATATCTGCGTCGTATGGGATCGGCCGGCCTGCCACGTCAAGGCCCGTCAACATGGAGAAGTCATATGGGGTCATCGTCATGTCCCTAGTAGCTGAAACATGGAAGGAGTTGGTGGTGTCCCGCCACCTCTCTACAAGTGCGCCTAAGAGGGTCCTACTCGCTGGATGACGTGAAAATCCTGCACAGAATAAGCCAAACCCTGCCTCGTCTACAATATGTCAGACAGTGTCTAGGAGCTCCATGTACCACTCCCTTGCGAGGATCGACCCATAACCCCGTGTGAAAAGGGAAGATACCTGCATTCAGAATGAACAAATATATTCAGTTTTAGATTGAAATGTATGAGCTGCGATTTCATATTGAAATGTATGGGCTGCGTGAAAATGAAAATGTATGAGCTGCGGTTTCAGATTGAAATATATGGGCTGCGTGCAAATGAAAATGTATGAGTTGCGGTTTCAGATTGAAATGTATGGGCTGCGTGCAAATGAAAATATATGAGCTGCGTGTTCACCATAAAAAGTTTGAGCTGCGTGTTCAAAATTTCAAAAAAAAAACGTAAGCTGCGTGTTCGCCATCAAAAGTTTGAGCTGCGTGTTCAAAATTTCAAAAAATGTGAGCTGCGTGTTCACCATCAAAAGTTTGAGCTGCGTGTTCAAAATTTCAAAAAATGTGAGTTGCGTGTTCACCATCAAAAGTTTGAGCTGCGTGTTCAAAATTTCAAAAAAATTTGAGCTGCGTGTTCGCCATCAAAAGTTTGAGCTGCGTGTTCAAAATTTCAAAAAAATGTGTTCAAAATTACAAAAAAAATGTGAGCTACGTGTTCCCATCAAAAGTTTGAGCTGCGTGTTCAAAATTTCAAAAAAAAATGTGAGCTGCGTGTTTACCATAAAATGTTTGAACTGCGTGTTCAAAATTTCAAAAAATGTGTGCTACATGTTCACCATCAAAAGGTTGAGCTGCGTGTTCAAAATTTATAAAAAATGTGAGCTACGTGCTCACCATCAAAAGTTTGAGCTGCGTGTTCAAAATTTCAAAAAATGTGAGCTGCGTGTTCACCATCAAAAGTTTGAGTTGCGTGTTCAAAATTTCAAAAAAAAAAAATGTGAGCTGCGTGTTCACCATAAAAAGTTTGAGCTGCGTGTTCAAAATTTCAAAAGATATGAGCTACGTGTTCACCATTAAAAGTTTGAGGTACGTGTTCAAAATTTCAAAAAATGTGAGCTACGTGTTCACCACAAAAAGTTTGAGCTGCGTGTTCAAAACTTGAAAAATGTGATCTGCATGTTCACCACAAAAAGTTTGAGCGGCGTGTTCAAAATTTCAAAAAATGTGAGCTGAGTGTTCACCATCAAAAGTTTGAGCTACGTGTTCAAAATTTCAAAAAATGTGAGCTGCGTGTTCACCATCAAAAGGTTGAGCTGCGTGTTCAAAATTTATAAAAAAATGTGAGCTACGTGTTCACCATCAAAAGTTTGAGCTGCGTGTTCAAAATTTCAAAAAATGTGAGCTCCGTGTTCACCATCAAAAGTTTGAACTGCGTGTTCAAAATTTCAAAAAAAAAATGTGAGCTGCGTGTTAACCATAAAAAGTTTGAGCTGCGTGTTCAAAATTTCAAAAGATGTGAGCTGCGTATTCACCATAAAAAGTTTGAGCTGCGTGTTCAAAATTTTAAAAAATGTGAGCTGCTTGTTCACC